GCCATTGAGGGCTTCCGGTTCTCGTCGATGGAGGCCTCGTCCAGCTTTGGTGACGACCGGCTTCTCATCGAGAAGTTCATCGAAAATCCGCGACACATCGAAATCCAAGTGCTTTGCGATAAACATAAGAACGCCTTATATCTGAACGAAAGGGAGTGTTCTATACAGAGACGCAACCAGAAGGTGATAGAGGAGGCGCCCAGTGTTTTCGTTGACCCCCAACTGCGTCGACGAATGGGCGAACAGGCGGTGGCACTGGCGCTGAACGTGGGCTACGACTCCGCGGGAACCGTCGAGTTTCTCGTCGACTCAAAGAAAAACTTTTATTTCCTCGAAATGAATACTCGTTTACAAGTGGAGCACCCGATCACTGAATACATCACTGGTATAGATCTCGTCCACCAAATGATTCGTATAGCGAAAGGACATCAACTGAAGCACAAACAGAGCGACATTCAGTTGAAGGGCTGGTCAGTGGAATCCAGAATATACGCTGAGGACCCCTACAAGTAAGACAAATCATTTATATTATTTATGAGACAATCGATTAAACAGATTTTTGCAACATTAGGAACTTTGGTCTGCCATCAGTGGGTAGACTCACTAAATACAAAGAGCCGACACATATCGAGAACGTCCGGTGCGATAGCGGTGTGAAGGAGGGCTCGGAAATCAGTATATATTACGATCCACTCATTTGTAAATTAGTTTCTTATGGCAAGAATAGAGGAGAAGCACTGAAAACCATGACTAAGGCATTGGACGCGTATGTGATCCGAGGCCTAACGCATAACATTCCACTTCTCAGGGATATTATGACTGAAGAGAACTTTGTTTCGGGAAATATTAGTACTAAATATTTACAACAAACATATCCGGATGGGTTTAAAGGCAAATCATTGACTCCCCAAACTTCACAAAAGGTATCCGCAATGGCCGCCGCCATCTTTGTCAGGGACACCGTTCGGGCCATGAATTTCCTTAATATTGTCACCACTGATGACTCCCTACACAACCCTATCCTCGACTATGAGCTAAAGGTCCACATTGGAAGTGGAGAATTGGTTTTACCGGTCAATCTCAAGATAGAAGATAATGAATATGTGGTTAATTTTGGAGACAATCAAATTAAAGTGAACAATCAATTCTCAATGGCTTCATCTGCTCTCGAATTTAATATTAATAATGATTTGCATTTAATTCAATTGATATCAATCGATGGCACCGGAAGAATGCGTTTACAATACGAGGGAACAATTGTATGATTTGTTCAATGATTATATCTATAATGAAATGTATTGATTGGTGTTTCTATTGATTTAGTATGACATTCACGTGATGTCGGAAAAAGCGGCCAAATATTACAAATTAATTCCAATTAAACCGAAACCAGATGTCAGCAAAATATTGAAGTCACCGATGCCTGGATTAGTGAAATCGGTTTCCTGTTCAGTGGGAGATATGGTATTTATTACATTTGTTTTAGCTATTAATCACTTGTTTTCGAAACAAAAGTCATTAATTTATGGCAAACTGTGTGTGAAATGAAAGGTGTCTGAAGGACAGGAGGTTTGCGTAATCGAGGCCATGAAGATGCAGAACAGCCTATCGGTGAGCACTGCCGGCAAAATCAAAGCCATTAACTGTAAGGCCGGCGACACTGTAGATGACGAGCAGATTCTCATTCAACTCGAGTAATGGGTTCGCCATCCCTTTCCACTTAACAGTCGATTCTTGAAACACTTTTTTGCTTCAAAATAAAATGTGCCATAAATTGAATCTTAATTGTTATGATTAATGGTTTCAATGGCTCTCTCAATGTTATGCCGTATTGTTATTGAATGCAAATTATATTAAATTCTAAATACATATTCAATTTCAATGTATTTCTAAATCCAGAATATATTGCAATAGTGTTGAGTAATCTATCAAATGAATAAAAACAATATTTTCTTATATAATAGGCTTTTATACAAAAAATGTTTAAAAATGAGATTTTGTTAAAAAAATAAATATTTGTTTAGCAATTATAATGATGTTATGTGTTGTTTGATAATCATATAGACAAATATGATTAACATTTGTGCTGATCCTCACTAAATCATCCTTTCATTGACTCAAACGACTATAAATACAGACAAACTTTGTTGTATTCAAATGTTGTGTGTCTTATGAGTTGTTGTGAGTTATTCTTCATATCGATCTGAAGTGTAGGCCAACATCACAGCAACTGCTCAGTGGTATCGCTGGTATCAGTGCTCTCACAGCAAACAAAAGACATTTTTGGCACTAAAACGATAGTCAGCTGAGCAGAGAGTGATCGAGTGATACGCTATAGGAATGGGAGCTGAGATGACATGACATCCCACTCCGTGTTTCTATGCGCTCTTTATAGCTCCAAATGATAGCTTTGATGCTAACCTTGGATTCAAACGAACTTTTCATTACTATTATATCATAAATATCACTGAATACTGAATCTCTGAATAAGATTATATTTATTTACTCTAATGTTTTATATATGACACGAATCGCCAGAATATGACTAAAATTGAATTTTGCGTTCAATTCTGTAATTAAACGCAAATCAATTGACGATTTAATCCCTCGACTCAATAAGTATTGATTACTTTTTTCTAATAGTTTTCGCAAATATTAATGGAATTCTGCAGTGCTTTTGGTATCAATAAAAATTGTATTATATTATCCATTGTTTTCTACGAGATTGCCACTCATTGGCAATCACTCACCAACTCTTTGACTGTGTATTTAACATAAGTTACATAATTGTGTCAGTAATTCATACAATGGCTAAATTGCTGACTAATTATCGCTCTGTTATTGTAATATAGTGTAAGTGTTTTGGAAGGAAACGTGAATTGGGGGGAGATTTCCATACATTCACTGTTTTATACAAATTCACAATTTATATCGTAAGCTATGAATACATTTTATTTATTTTCTAATTCATTTGTAATTACATCACGACCTATGCCATACGTATTTAATCTAGTAGTTTAATCAAATAAAATCAATTTTACTTAATTAATTAAGTATTAATCCCTAATAGTAAAGTTCAAAATATTAATAACTAGTACAGTATTTAAATACAGTAAAACGATTATACTGTACGGCTATAATATGTCATCAATAATTTATAGTATATTTAAGCATTAGATGAGATATGTTTAATAATTAAATAGTTTTGCGAATAAAGAGAAAAACAAAACATTAATAAAATAAATTGAAAAATCAATTAATTTTTTGAATGAAAACTTTTAGACTAATGCCAATCAATTTGGTTGCCGTGGATTAAATGGTTTGCATATAAATAAAGGGAAACAAGATTATGATAATTAGGATTCACTACTGGAGCTGTTATTTAATAAAAGGATAATTTGCAGTAAAATTACCCTAAATTGGGATATAATGTGCCTTCGCTTCTGGTGGCAAACCATTTGCAGTCAAGAAATTATTAAATTTGTTTTCAAGTTATACTTGAGATAACATATTGTGTATCAAATTGATGCAACTTTTAGTGAGTATATTACTGTATCCTTTGTATCCTGAGTATATACTTTGTATCGTTTGTACGAAATTTCATTTAAATTGTGTATTTATTATTGAATCATTGTTTTTCAGGTTTTATTGCATTTAACAGCAATTTTTCATTTTTTATATTTAAACCATTTTTGGTATTTGATTGGATATATTGATCCGATATGACTGGTATTAAAGTCCATTCAAGCCGTGAACCCAAATGTCCTGATGGGGGCTGGGGTTGGGTCGTAGTCTTCGCCAGTTTCATGATCCATGTGATCGCTGATGGAGTGACCTATACTTTTGGCATCTTTTACTACGAGATCCTTAAGTATTACGGAACCAGTAATGCCATGACATCTTGGGTCGCATCCATTATGACGGGAACCACTTATTGTGTCGGAAAGTATTATTTTGATCAGTTGACATATCCCATAAATGATCCAGCTGATAACTTATAAATAATATAAATTACAGGTCCAATAGCCAGTGCGCTGACAAATAAGTACGGGTGCAGAATTGTCACTGTAATCGGGGCCGTGTTGGCCAGCATTGGACTCTTGTTGAGTCTTATGGCGCCGAATGTGATTACACTGTACTTCACAATTGGCATTTGCACTGGTTTTGGGTTCGGCCTAATGTATGTATAATCATATCATAATATGAATACAGTTACTAATACTAATGATCGCCCAAACAGGTATTTGCCGGCGATTGTCAGGTAAATGAAAGTCAATTGAAGGCATTATGTTTTGCATCGAAACCAACTTTTCTCTCTTAGTGTGAGCTGTTATTTCGAGAAGAGAAGGGCATTCGCCACCGGCATCGCTGTCTGTGGATCAGGTGCTCTCACTTGATTTGATTATTTCAATTAACTTATATTTAATATTTAATATTTTTAAATATTTAATTTCAAGGCATCGGTAGTGCAGTTCTGGCGCCACTTATTGAATGGTTAATTGGATGCTATGGTTGGAAGGGAGCGATGCTTATAGTTTCGGGTCTCACTCTTAACTGTTGTGTCTTCGGAGCCCTATTTCGACCCCTCGATGAAAGTTATGACGACGAAGACTGTGATGATCAAGATGTGAAGAAACCACTGAAGGATGTGGTCTCCCATTCACTGTCCACATCAGATGCACTTAAATTGAAGCCAATGTTAGAAATAAATGTGACGACAAGTATAGAAGAGGAAGACGAAGATTTGGACAAATACTGCGAGAAAGAGAATAACCTGAAGAATGGTTGCATATCTTTAGCCAATAATCTAAACGAAGCGGTCGATGAAATGAGATGTCCGGCCAGGCATTCATTTTCAGTCAGCAAAGTCAATGAAAGCCAAACCACAGATAATATCAGTGATAATTTCATACAAAACGCCACGAGTTTGAGTTCAGTCCAAGTCTGCAACACTGACCTCCAGAACACCAAAGACTCGGAGCGGAGAAGATCCTGTTCTCTCTCACCCGGAGTTTTATATCGAAAGGACATCTTCTACAGCGGAAGTCTACTAAATATTCCGCACCACAAGTCTAATCCAGATCTAATCCAAGCGCCCAAGAAGTCAACTCAAAACAAATGCTTTTTGTTTCGTTGTCTACACTGTTCCCAAGAAATGATCGATACGTTCACCGAAATGCTTGACTTCACTCTTCTGAGAACCGCTTTATTCTTGTTGTTCGCGATCTCTAACTTTCTCACATCCATTGGATTCTTTGTTCCGCACATCTATATTAAGGTTACAATCCATACAAACATTGCAATCAAATTGAAAATATTAATCCATAATTAGGATCGAGTGGTAGGTCTGGGCATAGCCTCTGAACAGGAGTCGGGATTCTTTATAGCAGTCATAGGGATNATAATTGGAGGTCCGATAAAAGAGGCGACGCCTTGAAATAGCAGTAGAATTCCGAAAGCATTCGTCAATTTCTCGATTCCTAACAAATCGACCAAAATGACAGACGTAAGGCTTACATACGTTCCTGTTTTGTACATTCAAACCATCAATTAATCAATAAATCAAAAAAAATGTCTACAGTATTTGAATTTTAAAGAAATCATTGAATAATTACCACAAGATATGCCAAAAACTGTGCAATAGATTGTCATTGTCGAGTGGGTTCGCGCTAAGGAGCTAAACATGGTTGCGATCCCACAAACGGTGAGACTTCCGCTGTAGAGCCACAGTCTGTTCACAAATGAATGGTCAGAGAGATAACCGAAGACCAGTCGCCCGAATGTACTCGCGATCCCTATGACTGCTATAAAGAATCCCGACTCCTGTTCAGAGGCTATGCCCAGACCTACCACTCGATCCTAATTATGGATTAATATTTTCAATTTGATTGCAATGTTTGAATGGATTGTCACCTTAATATAGATGTGCGGAACAAAGAATCCAATGGATGTGAGAAAGTTAGAGATCGCGAACAACAAGAATAAAGCGGTTCTCAGAAGAGTGAAGTCAAGCATTTCGGTGAACGTATCGATCATTTCTTGATAATATAGATGTGCGGAACAAAGAATCCAATGGATGTGAGAAAGTTAGAGATCGCGAACAACAAGAATAAAGCGGTTCTCAGAAGAGTGAAGTCAAGCATTTCGGTGAACGTATCGATCATTTCTTGAGAACAGTGTAGACAACGAAACAAAAAGCATTTGTTTTGAGTTGACTTCTTGGGCGCTTGGATTAGATCTGGATTAGACTTGTGGTGCGGAATATTTAGTAGACTTCCGCTATAGAAGATGTCCTTTCGATATAAAACTCCGGGTGAGAGAGAACAGGATCTTCTCCGCTCCGAGTCTTTGGTGTTCTGGAGGTCAGTGTTGCAGACCTGGACTGAACTCAAACTCGTGGCGTTTTGTATGAAATTATCACTGATATTATCTGTGGTTTGGCTTTCATTGACTTTGTTGACCGAAAATGAATGCCTGGCCGGACATCTCATTTCATCGACCGCTTCGTTTAGATTATTGGCTAAAGATATGCAACCATTCTTCAGGTTATTCTCTTTCTCGCAGTATTTGTCCAAATCTTCGTCTTCCT